TTTTTTGAATACAATTTGCGAAAATGATTTTACAATGCTGTCACAGAAACTATTCACTTTATAGATAGTGAAAATGTAAGATCCAAAGGTTACCAAACAGTGACATATAATGCCATTGTTGAGTAAATAGGGTTTACTTAGCTAAACACGTCCATACACTGAGTTTGACATAACCATTAGGACGCTAATTGAAAATTTGAAAATTTGCAAATTGCTATTTTGCGTAAAGAGATAACTTTCGTGAGTGTAAATCATTATTGATATATATGAAGCTCAAAAGGAGCTTCAACTTATTATATATATATCAGCTTTGCCTAGCTTGGTGATAACATATTTAATAAACACAAGCTTGAATACAAACATAGAGTAGACAGCTTTGTAGAAATAGATTTATGTGTATATATAGCATATATATGAACTTCATTTCTCTAGAGTCCAACGAAAAGCAAAGCACTAAAAGTCCGCTGTTGATATATTTGCCAATTTGAACAATTTGGAATAGCCTTTGTGAAACATAGCTGTACATGGGCAGCGGCTCATACTCATACTTAAAAGACTTAGTTAGGTTTGGCGAACAATGCACCCATAAGGTGAGCATTACGGCGTAGATAATGAAATCCAACATAGAAATTGCTCAAAAAAGCGTGACGCGTGCTCTTGCTGTTGCTGATGAACTCTGCGCCATAAATTGCCAAGAGCCAACACACTTGCATACCACAAAGCCATATCTACATACATCTACATACACAGGTATATACATGCACATTACAACCTTAGCGGTATTTGGTAGACGCAACAGAAATTCTTATGGAAATTCAACATGTTTTATTGCTTATAATTGCCTGTTGAAAGATATTTTCGTTAATTCTGCTTCTTCTTTATTGCTTCTTTCGGATTTTTTGTATTCGCCTGGTAAATTTTCAGGCAATTTTCATCTTCTTTCTTCTGGGTGCTAAAGCGACTTTCATTTATTTCGGTCAGCTGAGTTCAAATGGCGCGTGCTTTGTGGGTCAGTGGTGTTCCACACACACATAGAACGAGAGAAGGTGGCACTCGCCTCTTGCTGAAAAATTATATAGAGTTGTTGAAGTGCTCATTGACACCATCAGATTGTTGAATTTAAATGCTAACTGTTCTCTTATTGTTCGACTCGCGGTGCCGTTGTCGGCGGCCAACTTTGCTGTTAGATATCATCATAATTCAAGTGAGGACTGCGGATCGCTTAACACAATTCAGGGAAAGTTCTGCACCCGCATAAAATAATAATTAATAACTCATGTGAGTCATGTGAAAACTGCTGTCGAATGGAAAGATTCTTTAATTGAAGATGCCTGATCATAGGCAGTTGAGAACTGTGTCTTATAGATAGAGAACCGAAAGGAATCCCTAATAGTGAATGTGGTAATAGTTAATGGCGGTATATGTAATGGAGTCGAAGATAACAGTTAAACTAATTAATAAGTGCCGATCGTGTAGGCACATGTTCGATTAGCACATTCATATAAGTAGCTTGATTAAAATACAGTTAAGTAGCAGTAAAGTGGTGATTGGAAATGTCTCGACGTGCCAGCAAAACTCGTAATTCTATATCTATGTGTACAGCTTCTCCACTTACGAGCCAGTGTGCGTCTGTATTGATGCGTTCTGGCGGCCCCAGCGGCAAGGAGTTATGGCTGTGACCCACCTTTAGAACTGGATGCGAACGCTTGATGGCAACCAGTTGCAGTTGCAGTTGCACAGCTGCTACAAGCCGCGCATCGATGCTCCAGTTTCTCAACCACAGACCTGTCACGCAGCAGCCGCTGCCGCCGAGAGGAGAAAATCTGAAAATAATTGCATGAAAACTCGAGATCCCTGCTCGAAAGAAGCGCGAACAGCAAATGCGGCCAACGAACAGGCAAAAGGGGGCAACAGCGGTAGCAGGGGCTGGGAGTGGTGCTAGAGCTGGGGCATAAGCTGACGCTGAAGCTGAAGCTGATGCCGAACGAGTTCAGCAGGAAAAATGGCTTCGGCGATCTTGATACAATTGAATGTAGGCAACTTAAGAGATCCCGCTAATCGAATGATTGTATTTAAGTCTGCACGTCAATATGGCATTTACTTCTGGTACCAAATATAGTCACAAGTACAGTTAACAAGCGCTTTGATTGGTAAGAGTCTTGCAGTTAATGTTAATGGCTAATGACTAATGGCTAATTAAATGGACTGTACTAAGAATAATTGCAAAGACAAACAATTTTTTTTGCACAGAATGTGCGATTGACTGTGATTGAAATATAATTAAACAATTTAGTTTTATAATAAATTGAACTAAAAATTATTGTTATACAATATATTTTCATTAATTATCAATTCGCTAATGCTGAGTTGACCTGTATTATAAGAATGTCTATAATTTACTTCTCGTGGTGTTCGAATTTTCTACTAAGCAAATATATATATGTATATATATATATATATATATATATATATATATATATATATATATATATATATATATATATATATGTAAAAAATAAATATATAATTATATATTTTGAAGGGTTTGAAGCGATTAATTGTTGAATGCGATTAATTATATATAAAATGATAGGCCAACTAGGCGTATGTGCAACATTAATTAAGAACCCTAACTTCGGTATAAATTTATTTTTTATATTTTGCTAGAGTTAAAATTCTTAATATAATATTTCTGAATATAATTTATTCAATTTATGTTATTTATATATTTTTAAATTTAATTATATTTGTTTATTTAATATTTAATCAAATTTCGTTGTAATTCTATTAAGTAAATATCGTATTGACTTACCTAATTTGCATTATAATCCTCACTTTTGCTGCCAATATCCATCTTCAAATTGCGCCCTTCAGAGGTCTCCAAGTTCAAGAATAATTAAGCATTAATTAAATAAATTTAATCACAATTACAGACTCTACTTGAGGTTCTTCTTAAAGACACTAATCTAGTTGAGCTCAGCACACTCTTAAGTCGGTTAGCTATTTGCCCAACCGAAAAACTCAGCCATGGAAACTGCAACCGAAACAGCAACCGAAGCGCGTGAAGCCAATAACGAGACTAACAGCTCAAGTGCAATTCAGTTGAGTCCAGAGCAACGTCCAGAGACGGCCAAAGCGCCAGCTCCATGTCAAGTTTTCAGACTCGGTCGTGGCTTCGGGTTATGTGCAGACTGCTCGTAATCTCGTCACGCATTTGCCTAGTCGCTGGAGGCGTTCAACTGACGCTTGGCGGCTGTTAGCGCCAGCTGATGCGGATTAGCCAAATCTTGTGTCCACGTCGACAGCTTTAAGTCCATAATTAAGGCACAAATAGCCCACATTTAAATATTTAATGTCAACACTTGAAAATATTTGGGCTTTAGTTTGACTTCCTGTAGCTACTCCCATGTCTATGCCTACTCCTTTTCGTTTTCCTACTTTCAGTTGAGCCCATGAGCCCATACCTGTCTATACCTGTCTACCTTGACCAACGCTGCCAAGTCGCCACCAAAAAGTGGTTAAACCTGCGTGGGCAATGCCCCAAATTTCTGTGTGTGCTCATTTGGGCTCGTCCCAGTGTACGAGTATTTGACCAATATTTGAGTGAACCGTTAGACAGACGCGCTTAGAGCTCAAGGCGGCCTGGTCATATTAATTTATGCCTTGCCCGGAGTAACTAACTTCATCAATACAAGCGGCCACCTGAATGGAAACAGGTTCTACACGAAATGGGTCAATCTTTAAGAATGCTGCTGTCAGAATCTTTGGCGGCTGCAGCTCCGAGCGAGTGACGGTCTTTGGTGGTGCAGCCCCAGAATAACGTGCCAGCTCCTGGTTAGTTCTTCTCTTTCGTTTTGGTGTTCCAGGAAATTGTGTCAGTCGTCTAAGGCGGCTGCATCGAAGACTTTATTGGGAGGATGAGTTCCCAAAAAGACGACTCTTGGCCAGCAGGCAGGCACGGTGAACAGGTTTGCATTGATTTTAATTGGGTCAGCACCCTATTAATTTGAATAGCCTTTCTTAATTAGTCCAATTTCATCTACTTGAAAAAGTAGAGCTTAGACTCTGCTAAGGCGTTCGATGTAATCGTTATTCGAATCAAAAGACTCTATATTCAAATATAAATGATAATTTTGTGCCTTGTAGAAAAACAATAAAAATGCTTACGGGTATTTAAATAGAAAAAAAATCAATAAAGAATCTGAGCAAGATTTAACGATAGCTATAAGAATATCTTCTAGGTTGATAGTTTTGCTGATGATATAAATCTATTCGCCCAGAGAAGTCACATTCAAATTGGGCCCTTGAAAATATTGATTTTCATTGTGTATTTATTTTCACAGGCATTGTAACAGATTGGAACCAAGCTTAAAGAGAGAAATTTACTTGTTTATTTGTTTATCTATTTACTTATTAAATTTGCTTCGTAAGCATGCGGACTATCTGTCGAAAGCTGATTGCTATTTACATAGAGTGCGATTTTCTTTCAATGGTTCTCTAAATGAAAATTTATTGCATACTTTTGAGCGCCAACAAACTCAAATTTGAAATTATTATAAATATTTACAACAATGATCTTCCAATAGCTTGCATTGACATGAATACACATTCATAGGATGAGAAATTTGACTAATTGTCAAAGAAATATACAAATATATAATATATGCAACAATCAACTGCGTTTCAGCCTAATCTGTAACATAGCAGGCAGCTTCTGAGTGTGGTCCGCAAGCAGTGCATGGTGCCATTTTGCTAACTGTGCAGTAAACTATTTTCGACTTCATTTTCAGCAACACCCGAACATATGCTACACTTTAAATAAGTTTTGTGATACAAGCGGATAATAAATAACGTACAATAACTTTGACACAGGGTGCACAATTACTGGTTTTTTAATTAAAAGTATTGCATACTCTAATGCGCTAGGAAGAAACCAAAGCTAAGTGCTTAAAATATATACGAATATGCAGTATGTAATACAAATTGGATAAATTTTCTCCTTTATGGAATGCAGAATCTTTTTATTCAGTTCAATTTGGTTTAAGTCATGGTTATGTAAACATTAAGTATGCATAAGTTTGTACTATTTACAAAAGCTTATCACTCCCACATCCCCGCATCCTCGCATCATTTTTATCGTCCGAAACGCATGTGGCCGTAGTCATCAAACTGGTCATCGTTACCCCGTTTCCCAAACCTCATGTGGCCGTAGTCGTCGAATCTCTTTGGGCGTTCAGCCTCTTCGTTGTTCACTAGCAGCTCCAGTTCGATAGGAATTTTTGATCGAGAAATGGGAAAAAACCTAGGCCCATAGCCAACGGATCGTTGGTTGCGCCTGTTGCTGTAGCCAATATGTGCACGGGAACTGCTAGCACCAGCTCCATTGGCGTTGAGCGCGTCACTGTCCGACTCTAATTTGGGTTCCGTATTGCGCCTTTGCTGCTCCTCCTTAAGAGTGTCCAGGCTCTCAGCGTGCGAGGGAGATGGCAGGATCAGTAGCAAGTACACTGTGAGCACAATCAGGATGAGCGCACCCGAACAGCGCCTGGGACTCTTGTAAGGCAACATCTTTACTTTGTCTTGCCGCTGATTGAATGCCAATCCTCAGCCAGGCACCTTGGCTTTTATAGCCAACTCTCCTTGGAGTCCTTGGCTGGATGCACAACAAGACAATATTTCTACTAGTTAATATTCCGCGGCTATTCGCAAGGCCCTAAGTGAAGCAGTAGCAAATCATTTGACAGCTGATTGACGTGATTGAATAAAGTGAGCAAATCCCACGCTACCTGAAAAATTATTAAATTTTAATAAAGGTAGATGGCTCAAGGCGAGAGTGAAGTGAAGTAAAATATTTTTATTCTCTTTGAACTGTTGAACCTTTATTGAGCTTTAGATGTGGCTCACAATAGTTAAAGATAGTTGTTTTTTTAATCAAATGTATATATAAATAATTATATATATATGGAAGTATTTAATAAGAATGGAGTATTGCTTAAATACATTCTTCGAGGTATAAAAAAACTAATATATTTATTTATTCTCTGACCTTAGTGACAACATAAATAGAAAATTAATAGATTATATCAACGTTATTGAGTGTTTTATAAGGAATGTGGTAAGCCAAGGTAAACATCAAAGCCCTATCAAACGCGTCATTCAAGAACTGAGCTCTTAGCTCTTAACATATTCAGACATTAATAAATACAAATATAAAGTCTGTTTTGAAGGGCCAGAGATGCAGACAATTTTCGAACAGATCAATTACAAAGTTGTTGAAGGCGTCCGGCACGGCTTCTTGCCCCTTTTTTGGTGGGTTCATTGATGACAGGTTTAATTAAATGTGTGCCGTCTGAGCCACCAGTTGCTCTGCAGAGAGACGATGGCGATGGCGATGGCGTGTCAAGTGCCGACTCCCTCCGATTGACCGCATTGAGCCGTTTGGCTCTGTGTGTCTATGTGTTTGTGGTAAAAGAATGCCATTTGCTGACCGGATTGTCCGCATTCCAAAGATTCAATCGAATAGTAGACACACACACACACGCATACACAGGCACACACACTAGTATATAGTGGTACATAAAAGACCAAATTAACAGCTATAGAGAAAAGTATCTACGAGTTTATCAATAAACAAACCGCAATCCATAGTCGCAGGCGCAGCCCAATGCAACGGTTTGTAGACTTGGACACACACAATATACACACATACACACAATCCACAACCAGTCTCAGAGAGTGCAAAAAACAACAAGACACAAATAAAATGTGAGCATAACAAAAGCCAAAAGGCAAGAGACGAGCATTAGAAACAAGACAAAATCCACAGCCGGCAGATCTCAGTCCATGGGCACTGGCCGCGCTTTGGACACCACTGTCTATCGGTGGTGCTATGTGGCGCTGTTGTTGTGACGGCTACAGCTCACGACAACTTCTTGCTGCTTGCAGGTGTTTCGAGGTCTCGATGTCTGTTCACGCAATTCAGCGGAGCGGTTCTGCGGATCGGGTTTATACGCTCTTGTCACCCGAACATATATACGCATATCATTAAAAAGTGTGTGTGCTTCTTAGACAACTTCTGTTTATGTAATATGAAATCGTATATATGCAACCATATGAGGGCTATCTGTTTGCTGGCATACTAAGTTGATTAGCTCTTTCGATCCACTTCGTACCCAATAGCTCTATCGCATCTGCTTTTTGCGCTCTCTTCTTGTTTACTTTAACATTCTGTGTTCCGTACGTGAGATACATAAAGCTTATTTATCCACTTGATAAGACTTAGTTAGCAGTGCACTGAGTTGAGCTCTCTTAAGTTGCATTTACAATTAGATAAATGAAGAAATTAGTTTCCTGTTGAAGGCAGCTCCATTGATTTCCTCCCAATTTATGGTGGCCCTCGGGTGGCCCAGCTATAGTCGAGTGGAGCGGCTAGATGTATGGGAGACAGCTTATGGTGTGGCATGTGTGCTCAGCGATTTGCCAGCTTGACCAGCTGCCCAAGTCGGCGTTGGTATTCCAGTAAAACTGGAAATGGAAAACATTTTCTTGCCGCATTTTCTCGTTGCATAAAGGTGGAATTTCCATAAAGCCAACGATGCCTGTGCCGCTGACACACACACAGCCGCCAGCCCGTCACGGGGCCGGCCCGTCGGTGGCTCCGCCAAGTGGGATGCCTCGTCCTCTCCGCGTCACACCAAACGCGCTTTTAATTGAAAATCTCTTACGCAATCCGAGGGACATACATATAACTCCTGGAAACAGAAAAAATAAAAAATAAAAACTGAAAACTTAAAACTGGAACTGCCAATTTTGATTTATACGTTGAGCGGTTGGAAAAATATATGTTTTGCGCCTGGCGGCAATTAGGTAATACGCGCATAAAGGTAAATGGCTATTGGTGCAGGTAATGCTGGCCATAAAGCCCAGCCTGTAATTATTGTAGCCAAAATAAAAAATATATAATATATATAAACGAGGACACTGATGCAACTCGCGTTTGACTGTTGTGTAGTTATAGAGTGCTTCAAAATTAACCTGTTCACCTGCAGCGCATCTGTCTGCTGCTGTGTGTGTATCCGTATCTGCATCTGTGTTTGTATCTTGTATCTTTTAATATACAGCTCACACATGTTGCCCCCTTACGAAGTGGAAGTTAAAGTTGAGCTTGAATTGCGATGATCTTTGCTTTCGGCATTATAAGTAAGTAGCGCCGACTCAAAAACTGGAAGTGAAATCGGAATTGGAATCGCTCGCGGTCGCCATCTCTCTCTGTCTCTCTCGCTCTATCTCCGTCTCTGTCCCTCTGCTGAAATTCTCGACAGTCTCGAACGATTTCATCACTCAAAATTCGAATATGCACATTAAGTATGTTCGCTGCAACTTTCGCTTGTTTTACTTTAGTCGATTGTTAACAAAATATTCGAACAATTTGTGTTTGAATATTTGTGTTTGCCACGAACCAACCTTCGAGGCCCTCCCAAGCCTCAGGCATGCCATATGCAAATATCAAATCTGCAGTCAGCGACATGCAAAGAATTTGCATGTAAATTCCATTATGCGACAGCCCATGTAGTCTTGCCATATATATATCTATATATAGTATAGATCTGCACATTAGCTCAAGTAATATTCTTTAATGCTGCTTGTGGGTGTGCAAACTTAATGTATACACTGTTCAAAATGCAGTCTACATATATATGTTTATATCACATACTAAAATGAAAGTATAGTTAGCTTGCACTAGTTTCTTATGTAACTGCAATATGATATAGTATTTTGATGCATAAATGTTGTATGCAATGGATAGACTAACCTAGCCTTGTATTCCTAAGAATGTTTTTTGGATTCCCACTCGAAAACATTCTCTAAGTATTTGAATTTATGTAATTCAATTTTCTATTCGACATCTAACTCAATATTCAATATATGAATATTTTTTAATTTGTAAGCAAAACCCATGATGTATATCAATGTTTTTCTCAGTGTATAGCGGCTGTCACAAGGCTTCACTGTTGCTCCCCCCACCCGCTGAGCCAATCAGTTAAACTGGCTGACTGACGTACAGGGTATGTCTATGCATACATTCATACATACATACATACATACATACCTATGTACGTATGCAAATAACTTATATTTATTCATGTTGTGCTCACGCATGCTAATTGAGTTGAAGGTGTGTGGTTGGGCCGAGAGACGGATGCCGCAGCGAGAGCCGTTGTCGAATTTGATAAAAATAGAACCTGGCTTATAGCAGAAATCCACTTTAGGCCATCTTTTTGTAGCTGTGCGAATTGAAAAAGCAATTTGTTAACATTTTATTGTATTTATTGTACACATATGTATGTATATTTGTCGTCATTATGATTATGCATATCTATTACATCTGCGCTTTAAGATACTAATATGGACAGATTGAAAGAACTGTAGTATATGTAGGTATATGTATGTGTATGTGTCTGTGTGTGTGTCTATAACTAAGTGTAAAGGCTTTCGAAAAGATATTTTACATTTGTGCTCGAAAATCAGGCAAACAGATCCTGTTCTCCAGTTGTCAAGTATGGTGTATTATATTATTCTACATTATGTATTATAATCGGTTATTTGTTGTCTTTGCTTTCATCTGGTAAAGGGACTTTCCATTGTTATTTTGCTTTGTTGTTTTTTTCTTTTAACTCTTTATTATATATACTTATAGTATAAACCTAATAAGGCACACATATTCATTGTTGATAATTGATTTTGATTGCGATATCGTTAACGATATTCGATTCTAAATTTGGATACCCAATCTTAACTGACGTCTGTTGCTGCAGTACAGCTTGGTCGCTTTTGTGTTTATTGTTGATTCGATTCCATTTCTAAGTTGACCAGCATCGCTATAATGTTGTGTAACTCTGTATATATATATTCGTATATATATCTAGTACTTCTAGTCCATGTCGGGTGTACCCATCCGCTGAAACTTGGGCTGGGTCTGGGTGCGGACAGCTTATCTGCGCGGCTTGCCGAAGCTACTTGCGGGGCCCAGAGGGCCGTATATCGCGTGTGGTTGATGTGGGTGAGCATGTGGATGCGCTGGACCGGCTGCACCATTCACCATGGCAGCCTGTTTGCGCTGCAGCGTGGCCGGACCCGGCGCCATTTGACGGCGCTCGCCATCGCTGAGGTCCAGGCCAGCCACCATTTGGGCTATCTCGCGCTCCTTCTTCATGTCCGGTGGATTGAACTGTAGGCTGGCCAGTGAGCCGTGGCTGCGACTGCGATGCTCCTGACGTATTGAGTAGCTAAAGGCACGCTCGTTGAGGTGACCCTTGCGGCGATAGATGCCCGTGCCACCTGGCGATGGCGACTCGGCGCCCGAGTTGCCCGAATCGTCCAGGCCGTTGCCCATGGACGCGGCCATCTTGCGGCTGGACATGCTCAGAGGACGCGGCTCGCCGATCATTGACTGTGCCATTGGCGGTGGCGGCACACCACCCATTGCCTGCTGATAGGCATAGATGGGCGGCACAATGGGCATGCCCACGGGCATGCCAACGCCTCCGTTCTTCTTATCCTTCTTCTTCTTTTTGCTGGTTGAGCG